CCAGGTGGGTGATACTAAGAGCTGGGGGAGCAGGCCCAGAGGACACTGCCTGCCTCACCTCTGCAGGGGTTGGCCAGAAACCTAGACAAGGCAGAGAAGACTAGACTCCAACACATGGGTTGGAGTCCCATTTTTAGCCTTTTTCCTGTGCCTGTCTCTGCAGCAGAGATGCACTGTGAATGCAGTCTGCCACAGCACCTATTGGAGTTAGGTGGGGAAGGCTTTAAATCCACCTGATAGCTGAGATATGGATCAATGAAGGATTGCTTCCCTCAAACACTGATTTACAAACACCTGAGCCAATGTTCATCTTCACTAACTACAGGGACTTCTAGAAAGGGATCAGTTTTAAAGTACTACCTAACCTCTTTCTTTTGGCTGAAAAAGAGCTGAACAGAATTGCTTTTAAATGTACATGTCTCTATGTGTGCTACTGTTCATATGCCCTGAGATTGGAGGCTACATCACTATGGACATCTCAAATGACTACAGGATCAGAGAGGACACATGGATGTTGAAACTGTCACATGTGTAAAATGAATATGAAACGAAACACCTAAAAATGTATCCAAATTTTAGTAAAAGCTAAATTAATGCAGCAGAAGTCTGAAATATTTCCTAGAATTATCCTTATGCTTGCAGTGGATTTTTGTAGTGGAAAAGTTGCAATGTAAAAGAACTCTGATGGAACCCTGAAGTGACATAATACAGCACAGAATTTATCAGTGACTTTTAAGGTGAGTATGCTGGGAATTCCTCTTCTGCCGTGTTTTAAGATTTTTTTAAAAATAGGTCATCTTTTAACTTCAAATATGCAAACTATCAGTTGCATAACATGGACCATAAACATAGCAGAGTTCTTACTTCACAGAGCAATTAAGATCAAGGTGTTTTCAGTTTAGTTACCTCAAGGAGACTCTGAGTATAGAGATTTTTAAAAAGACTATTCCTAACTATTCTAAAATAAATCTGGTGTTCTACTCTTTCCCCTGTGATTAACTATATTCATTTAAACTGTTCATTATTGAATCAGCAGAGGTCAAAAGCTAAGACCTATCCATCCTCTCCACCTACAGGAAATTCCTCTCTGATGTCTCTATGTTCTCTCCATCCCCTCTTCAATATATTTTTAATAATAGCAGACTTCTTGAGAGTCTTGTAGGCATCTAAGTGCACATCAACACTATCCAGGATTATCTGGTTATTCACTAACTGTGCAAGAGGAAGATGGCTCTCAGCATTATGACTGCCAGAGAGAAAGTCCAATGGCATAGAGTGAAAATAAGTGTTTAGGAGAAAAAAATATTATAATGTGATCAGAAGTTGGCGATTAATTTCTGATTACTTATTATGATCTAAATCTAAGGAAATGGACCTTACAGGCCCTTTAATCTTCCATGTTATATAGTGTACACTTTTATTTCAGAGATCAATCCAAGATTTTCTACTTTCAGAAATGCCTCTTGTCTCATTAAATCCTTCTCTTTTTGTCAAGCCTGAGCTCTTTCAGAGATGAGTGCAAATTCTGAGGTACTCCAGTGAGCAAATACTCTGCCAAATTCAAGTATTCTGGTTTAATCGTGTTACCAAAGGCTGCTTTCTTTATGCCCTTCTCAGTAATTTGATTGTGGCTGAGATCAAGCTTTTCTATCTCTGACAGCTCACTGAAGACATCAGTAGGAATTACTAATATTTTACTGGATGATAAATATAATTCCTTAAGGGCAAGGGGGAGAATGAAGGGAATGAATGTTCCTCAGTGAACTGAAGTCCATCATGTGCAAAGATGCTACAGAGCCAAATTCCACTCTGGGGAAGGGCTGGTGGGTTACCCGGCTGCTGGGGAGGCTCAGTGCTGCCAGACTCCTGTGCCGAGTCAAAGCCTGATCCATGACAGATCAGGTGTCCCAGCTCCACCAGGACACATTTGCTGGGATGCTCCTGAGATTATTTTCAACCTCCTGAAGACAAAAGCCTTTGCAAGCCTTCATAGGCTTCTTTCATAGTTCCATCCCTGAGCTGCTTGTTCTTCAGAACCAAGAAATCTGGTGACAAATACACCTTCAGAAGACCCACCTGTATGAAATTTATCCTGTTATTCAAAAGTCATAAATATATAACACTAAAGGGAATTGCTTCAGCATCATCTGACAGCCTTTTGCCTGAGAACTAAACCACTCTGAAAATAAGATGAGAACAGTGAAACTAGCACTCTTTTCAGCCAAAGAAGAGTTTAAAAACACTTTGTGTGTAAATTTCTTTCTAATATCCTGTATTACTTATATTGGTATAATAATAGCTGTAATAGATATATTGTGATTTACTTCTATGAACCTGTATTTATCAATACAAATATAATACAATAATATAAAATTGTTGGTGTTTACAGTTAGAGCATTAGTCCTCTGTCTTCAATATTTTTTATAAACTATATCTTTTATAAACTAAGTTCTCTAGGGTTGCCTAATTTGTTTTTATCTTGAGCTCCTTCTGAGTGTCTATGATGTGTGCTCTGATACGAGAATCCCTCTCTAATGCTTTTTTTGGAGCATCTGTTTTCTATGTTTTCACAATTTTTTTCAAGAAAGGTTAAAATAATAACTCATGCTTTGATGTATGCTGATGCACAATTTGCTCATTTGGTAATCCCATGTATGTGATGAATAACCACAAAAGAGCCTTATATTAACATGAATCTAATTATTTATATCCTATGACTGAGTCATTATTCAACTATGACTTTCCAGCATCCATCATTATGTATAGCTACATACCTTACGGTAATTATTTTTAAACAGCTGACTCTCCAAATGTAACTAAACAACTTCAGCTGGAGGGCTCAGCTGCCAGAGCAGACACACTGGAGGGCAAGAGTCATCCTCAAAACGGGCTGTTGATCTGATCATCCCATCTTCCACATCTTTATAACACTGTTGCTTTCTAAAGAAATATTCTTCTGCCCTTTTCTAGCTTTCTGCTTGTTTATCAGCTTCTTACTTTTTGCTGTTTTGGGAGTTTTAATAGACCATACAGCCTTTTCTTTTGCATCTTTTGTTAACTCTTCCTTTTTCTATCATTTGCTAGAAGGAATATTACTGATCCTTCTCCTGACACTTTCTGGACAAACAATGCAGCACTCTGGCCTGAGAGAACACTCATCTTTGATTTGTGACTTACACTTCTGCCAGCTGGAAGGTTCCTCTGCCTGCCCGTGGAGATGCTGGGAAAGGGCCTGCTGGGCTGTCCCTGGATGTCAAGAGTGATGCTCCCACGCAAGAGACTGGCCTTGATCTCTGCAGGGGACACCTGAGGTGCAGGAATTCGTCTACCCACAGGTTTTGCCCTTCTGCTCTTTTACAGCTGCTGGCTCAACTGTGAATTTCAAGACTGAATTAGTGCTAATATGTTTCAAAGGCAAAGTTGCATTTTTAAACTTCTTGTTGAACTTATCCTTATTTTAATTAAAATAATTAAATTTTACTTTAATGTTTTCACTGCAATTTTTTTCCTGTTTTCAGGTTTTCCCCTGTTCTTCATGCATTAATTTCTGTTAAGGTAAAGATACAAACGCTTCTGGAGAAAAAGACATGTATACATAAAATCATAAACTACACAGTTTATTAGCATAAAAATCTGTTGATTAAATTTTTAAATTACATTAATTGAGAAAACTTTGATTGATACTCTTGTTTCTTTTCTGATTTATAACAACCCTGGGGCCCTGGATCTTCTCATGAAAGAGAATGTAATTTATTCTTCCATTATAAATAGTTGAGGATATTGAAGCTAAAAAATACATTTTTTGCATTTCAGTGTGGGTCTCAATAACACTGCTCTTTAAAATGTTGTATTTCACCTGCCTTTCAACATACCATAAAGTAATTTCAGTACCTTTAGGTATAAGGCAAGTGTGATTTCCTGTGTCATACAGGGGGTGCATATTGCTAGGAGAGGTTTAGAATTATCAAAACCTTGTCAGATGAAAAATGTTAATACATATCTGTTTGAACTGTGCTTTTTAAATGATGGATTTTTGTCTGTCCACTCCAAGAAAGTAGAAATAATGGAATATTTATGACAGCTAGTTATTTACACCCCTACAATTATAACTAATTAATTTCTGAAATTGTTACATTCTTTCCTATCTCTTTGTCAAACTATTCATCCATTTTCCAATAGACAGTACACTAAACCAGCAAGTTTCTCTCAAGAGCTAATTCTGTTTTATCTCCTGATACTTTTGAAAATACTCTCATCTCAGGAATTCAGATAGAAAATCTATGCTTGTTTAAAACTCTGAGTAATTCCTGCAGCTGAGAGAAAAGAAGTGATTTAGCCATAATGATCGTCACCCCCATTGATGATCTCAAAGAAAGTTTTTATCCTTTGCTGAAGTGTATATTAAAAAAGAAAAAAAAAAAAAGAAAAAAAAAAAGAAAAATAGTTGAAATAGCTAAAAATTACACCAAAAACAAAATGAAAATATGTCTTGCAACATTCCTTTGGTTGTATTCTTATTTACATCCTGTGAATATAATCTCCCACAGCCTGTCATTTGGACACAGAAGTCACCTGCACCCCTTGTGAGGACTGTGCACAGCCCACTGGCCCACAGGCAGCAGTAAAGGGCATCCTGTGATCTTGAGTGCCTCAGACCACCTTTCCCAAATGGACTTAATATTGGCTTGGAAGATATTTAAAAGTGAGTGTTGGGGTGTGTTTTAAGTTTCCTCCACTTATGGTTGCTTCCTCTCCCCCCTCTTTATGTTAAATGGTCTGGCGTCCCTTCTTCTCCTCCCCCCTCCGTCTGCCAGTCATCCCTCCCTCTATCCAACTGGTTTATTTACGCTGAGTCACTCCCCTGACCCCTCCCTGGGGCCTGTCTGTTACTCTGAGGCCCCTCCCTTTCACCTAGAAAGTTCTACCCAGGGCCTTGGGTGATAGGCTGGTCCCTGGGGTCCCCTCCCTCCCTCTCACTCCATTGGATGTTTCCTCTGCTTGTCACCTCGGTTTCCACCCCAGTTGTTATCCCATTGGTTGACTGTTGTTCCCTCCTTCCCTTTGTTACCTCCCCCATATAAAAGGCCATGCACACAGTGCTCGGGCCTTTTGGGGCTTATCTCCCTTCGAGCTACAGTTGTCTCCTAAGACTGCTAATTAACTCGTAATGCAGATACCCCCCAGAAGGACGGCTCCTTTGCTTTTGTCAACGTCGCTCCGCGTCTCTCCCAGTCTGGTGGGTTCGTTCCCACAGGCCATAGCTCCTGCCCGCAGTGGCACGCAAGAGTGACCTTTGCTGCCCCCAGTGCCAAGGACACTGGGCTAGCTGACACTTGGGGAGGCACCGCGACAGCTTGGTGCCCAACATGGGGCCTGAGAACACCTCCAGACCCCACGGACTAGACCAGCAGAGTCGTCGTTTTGGATTTCTAATCCTGACACCGTCTTGCACGAGGTCTCTGGATGTTGAGCTACCCCCAGTGGAAGCAGACCTAGTTTTATAGGTGGCGCTCCTGGGGGACGGGAGAGGCAGCTTCTTCGGTTCCCGCCAGAAGTCTCTCCCAGACAAAAGCCCTACCTCGGAGTTTTTGTTGGTCCCCTGGATCTGGGTAAGTAGGAAAATTCCTATATCTTCTCTTCATTCCCCTCCTTTCTTTTCTGGATTTGGAACAGGGGGAATTATTCCTCTTTTGTTCTGTGGGTGGGGGGAAAAATTTGGGTGTCCAGTTGGGATCTGTTTTTCTTTCTGCTTTTTTTCTCTCTGAAGTGGGAATTAAACTGCTCAGCAGCATTTTACAACCATGGGTGCTAAGCTCTCTACTGAGTAGAAGGGGATCTATCTCCAGGTTGTGGGTATCCTTGTTGGGGGTGGGGAGGGGGGTTCAGTTTAAAAGGGACAAGTTAAGGCTCTCATTAAATGGCTCTTCCTCCATTTTCCCGAGGTTACTACCCCTGAAAAAGTAACAGATGTGCAATTTTGGGATTTGGTCGGTCAAAAGTTAACAGTGCTTAGTAAAACAGGGAGTTGTTCAATTTCAAAAATGACATTTTGGGCCTTGCCAATTAGAACATTCTAAAATCTAAACAATGGGTGGAGGAAGAGTCATTTTTGAACAGATTGTCCCCAGTTCTTCCATCCCCTAGCCCTCTTCCCTCCCCTCTCAGCTCTAGACCTGGGATTCTGCAGGGAGCAAACCGCAATATTGCATGGGGTTGCTACCGTCTCCCCGGCTCTCCACAGAACCCCAGATCCCCACTCCTGGGGAGTCGTGGCCAGATCCTCAGGACCTTTCCAGTCCCTGACTCTCCCAGAAATGTACAGCCCCATCCCGAAGACCCACTGTTCAGTTTAATAGTCTCGACTCATCTGAGTCCCAAAATGGCCCCTGGAGAGAAAAAGATGGCAGATGCCACGGGGGTTTTCCCGCCACTTGTTTTTCTCCTTCCCAGAATCCTTTTCTTTCCTCTTCCAACCCATTTCTGTCCTCCAACACCTCCTCAGGTTTTAACTCCTCCCTTTCCTTTGCCCTTCCTCCTCCTTTCAATCCCTCCCCTAGTTACGCCCCTAATTCCCACACCCTTTCCACTGGTCCCACCCACCTCCCTGGCCCCTTCCAACCAGGAGCCAATTTCCGGTTCCCACGGTCCTCCTTCCGGTTCCCACGATAGTGGAATTGGGGGGGGGGAGGGGAGGGGCCTGGGAGTGGAGGTGGCTCAACAATGACAACTATTCCTTCAGATGTTCAGGGTAACCCCACACCGACATTATTGGCTGCACTGGTCACATACGTCCCTCACGCTGAGGGTGGCACTCACGCCCAGTGGACCCTGCTGCCCTTCCAGGTCACCAAAGAATTATGTGGGGCACAGTGGGAGTTCACCTGGGAGAGCGAGTGCTTCCGGGGGATGCTTATGGGCACATTATCCACTGACCTCACTCCTGCAAATCTCCGTCAGCTCTACTCCTGCCTGCTGACTCCTACGGAGTTTTTGTGGTGGGAGACAGAGTGGCAGAAGGAGGTCTGGGACTTCTTGTTCCAGCTTTGGGAAAACCCGGTCACCGCCAGTGACGCAGGGGGGAGGATGCTCTTCATCGACCACCTCTGCGGTCAAGCAGAGTGGGCCAATGGAGCATGCCAGGCTGCTGAGATCCTCCAGGGGGCGCTGCGGGAAACAGTGAAGGCGGCCGAAAACTCATTTTTCAATCTGAAACCAAACGGACAGGTCCAAAATTATCTGAAAATTGTGCAGGCCCCAAATGAACCTATTTTAGACTATGTTGAGAGACTTTGCAGGTCGGTGGAGCTCCAAATTAAAGACGAGAAGGCAAGACAAGAGGTGCTGAAGGAGACTGCAGCAGTCAACGCTAATTTGCCATGTAAGGCAGCAATTCTGAGCCTTCCGATGGAGCCCAAGCCGACCATTCAGGATATGTTAGAAGTCTGTGAGAAAAAGGTAGACCTTGCGACTTCAGAAGAACCATCCACGGGGGGGCCTGCACCAAGGACTGGACCAATGAGACGAGCCTACGCCGCCAACACCAGGATGCCACCACCTCATCCTCATCCTGCACTGCTGCCACGCAGCCAGCGACCAGTAGACCGATGTTTTTTGTGTGGGACCCCAGGGTACTGGTGGGGGAACTGCCTACTCAAGAACGAATTCCATAAATTTAAAAGGGAGCAGGGCATGGCCCAGGGACCCTCAAAAAAGTGATTGATGAGTGCAGCCCCTCCCTGCATTCAGATATAAATTCAGTGGGCCACGGAACATCCCAGGGAAGGGGGGTTGAGCAGACACCTACATTGGACGGGACAAATACTGAATTTGACGTTTTTCCATCTAATATGAACAGGAACACCGCAGACCCATCTTGACCTCCCTGTCAAATTTCTCCCTTTTCAGGCTCCAGCTGACAGAACCACTCCATCTCAGGGACACAGATGATCACCTTATTTCCGTCACCCTAGAGGGTTCAGGTACCTGGAGTCAGCTGCGATGTAAGCACATTGTTGTTGGGGAAACCAAATTCACACCCCAGGAGATCATGTTCGCCCGTCGGTGTTTCTCCATAAGGGTCAAATAGTTGCCCAAGCCATTCCGGTTCCTGAACCACCTTGGGACTGGGAGCAGGTGGCTGATCTTCGCCAAAAGCTTATACCATCTATTTACTGGGCACAGGCCCTTGGGGGGAGCAAGCCCAAAAAGATTTGTGGCCTCCATCTTCGCAGGGAATGGAGAACAATGCAGGATCTCCTGGACATGGGGGCAGATGTGATGATCATTCCCACTCAGGAGTTGCCGTCACACTGGGAGCTGCAAAACGTGGCTGGTCGCGTACAAGGTATAGGGGGGATTCAATTGGCTAAACAATCTAGGAGCATTGTACAAACTGAGGGGCTGGATGGGCAATTGCCCTCTATACGCCCATTCGATTTGGGTTTTATGGAGGCCCTGTGGGGGAGAGACCTGGTGGCCCAGTGGAGGGCAAAAATTGACGTTCCAAAGACCCCCATCTTTTCTGGGCAGCGGTCACTGAGAAGCGCCCCACCCAGAAACTGAATTGGCTGACTGATGAAACCAGTCTGGGTGGAACAGTGGCCGCACAGTAAACAAAAATTAGAGGTGCTTGAGGATTTCATGAAGGAGCAGCTCATTAAAGGGAACATCGTGGAGACCACATCACCATGGAACTCCCCAGTCTTTGTCATTCAAAAACCAAACAAAGACAAATGGCGGCTCCTTCACGACCTCTGTGAAATCAACAAAGTCATCGAAGATATGGGGTCTCTCCAGCCAGGGCTGCTGTCCCCTGCAATGTTCCCCCAAAATTGGAATTTGGCTGTAATTGACATCAAAGACTGCTTTTTTCAAATTCCCCTACACCCTGACGATGCCCCATGGTTTGCCTTCTCGGTTCCAGCCATCAACCGAGAAGGAAAAGGTACCACTAGTGGGTTTTGCCCCAAGGAATGAAGAACAGCCCAGTTATATGCCAGTGGTATGTCTCTTCCTTGCTGTCCCCTGTCCATGTAGCTGTAGGACACACCATCATCCTACACTACATGGATGACATCTTGGTGTGTGCCCCCACCGATGATCTGCTTGCCTATGCGCTTGAACTGACAACAGATGCGTTGATTGCTGCAGGGTTCGAGCTCCAGATGGAAAAGATTCAAAGGATGCCACCTTGGAAGTACCTGGGGCTGCAGATGACATCGAGGACCATTGTTCCTCAAAAATTGGAGATTCGAAATTCAGTCCAGACCCTAGCAGATCTCCAGCAACTGTGTGGGTCTTTAAACTGGGTAAGACTGTGACTAGGAATCTCCACCAAAGACCTAGCCCCCCTTTTCAATTTATTGGAAGGGGGAGAGCGGCCTAGTTCCCCACGGACACCCCAGAGGCAGAGAAGGCGTTAGAAAAGGTACAAAAGTACATGTCTGCCAGGCAGGCCCATCGCTACCAACCAGGCCTGCCCTTCAGATTCATCATTATGGGGAAATTGCCACAACTCCATGGGGTGATCTTCCAATGGCATGAGAAGATCAAGGGTGAGGACCAGGGCGAGAGGGACCCTCTCTTAATCACAGAGTGGGTCTTCCTCAGCCATCATCAGTCCAAAAGGATGACATCGCCACAGGAGCTGATGGCTGACCTGATTTGGAAGGCACGACTGCGCATCAGGGAGTAGGCAGGGTGTGACTTCGACATGATTCACGTAACCCTGCAATTGACCATGGGCCAAATTACAAAAGCACTGTTGGAACACCTGCTCCAAGAAAACGAGTCCCTGCAGTTTGCATTGGACAGTTACACCGGACAAATTTCAATTCATCAGCTGGCCCACAAAATTTTTAATTTGGACATCCAATTTTCATTATCATTAAAAAGGGTCCAAAGCAGGACACCGCGACAAGTGAGCTCAAGAAGGGCTGGAGACTTCATTAAGGGTGATGATGCCACCACCTTTGTAAGGGATATGTTTGACAGTGACTTGATTCCCTGCAAGGCTCATTATTACTTCTTTATTGTAGTCTGGAAGACTTTGACAGGAATGAATTATTATTATTAAAAAAATAGATTAAGACATGAGATTTTCAATCAAATGTAAAATTAACTGCAAAACTTCAAATTCCCTTATAATAGTTTTTTTTTTTGTAAACTATCTTCCTTAAATACAACAAATGTATGGTTAGTCTTTCTCACACACTAGAAGTCATATTGCTTCTAAGGAAACAAATACTATTAAAATAACAGACTATGAAAGCCCCCCCATACATTTTCCAATTAATAAAAATAAATATTCTCATTTACAAGTAAAAGGAAAAGTTATTTCATTAATGAGTGTGAAAATCAGATGGATTTTCACTGATGGTTTTCATTATTTTAATCTAAGATATATATTTCTGGCTGTACAGTAACTGCTTAATGATTATATGAAATAGGTTTCCTATTACTAAATTTTTGTATGGGTTGAGGATGGTTTTGCAGTTAAAGCAGAGGCTGGGGAGTCATCCCTGAGTGCTCTGTGAAACCTTAAAACTCTAGAATGTTTTAGATTCCACCTGCTAACTCAGGATTGCCATGCCCACAACTAAACCTTGTCCTTAAGCACCTCATCCAAACATCTTTCAAATTCCTTCAGGGATGGTGCCTCAAGTGCCTCTCTGGGCAGCCTGTTCCAGTGCTTGACAGCCCTTTGGGAGAAGGATTTTTTCTTCATATGTAATAATCTAAACTTTGCCTGTTCAACTTGAGTGTTCTGCTCCTCATTCATGGAGCACTAACTCCACAACTACATATAGGTACCACCTCAGACCCAGAGGTACCAGTGGGGGTACAGGTGGCAAAGCCAAACCAGGGGTCAAAGGCACCTGATTTCTTTATGCCTAAACCAGAGATAAAATTATCATGCTTGCCATTTCTACATCTTAATTCTTTAGTACTTGCAAACTGTTCTGGGATCCCTGACCTGAAGGTCTGTATAGTTCTTTGATTTCTGTACCATCCCTGCACAGATTATCATTGAATTAAACAAACAAAAAAATAAAGAACAAAACCTTTATCCATCACACATCTCCACTAACTGCCCCCCTCCAACATTTTATTGATTGACTGAAATATTTAGAAAGTAATTATATTACTACCCTAACAGTTTTGGGTTTAGAGAGATTAAAATCCAGCATTTTCCTCCTGAATGCTTGAAATAGGAAGGATTGCTTCAAGGCTTTACAATCAGTCTACTGTGAATTATTTTTATAATTATTTCCACTCCAACTATGTGCTGACGTTTACATATTATGTTATAGGTTTCAGCATGTTCCCAGCTCTGACTGTGTTTTGCACTGTAGGCTAAATTCTTGTGTTATTACTGATGTTATTTTTCTAATGTGTCTCTCTGAACTGTCCACATGGAAAACATTCTGGCCTGATGATATGCTTTGTTGGGATTACAGCTGGGTCAATTAATAATGGTCAGTGATCAGAAGCACCTCTCAGCTAGGTTACATAGTTTAATATGACAGCATAATTCTTTTGTCTTCTTTGACAAGTCACCTGTCTCTACAATGACACAGATCATAATATAAAAAAGTCTAGAGGAAATAAATACCTGTTTTTATAATGGTATCATTAAATATGCACACTTAAATCCCATGTAAAACTTCTCTATTATCTCACATACCAGAACAACATTAAAGTTTACTGAAGTCCCAGATGTGAAAAATAAATGGAATGATGGAATGGTTCCCTGCTAGCCTATGATCCTGGACTACAAAGTTTCTTGGAGACAATTACTCATTGGTACAGACAAGAGTCATTCTATATATACTACATCTGATCTGCTTTGTTTCTCTGACACTGGAATATTACCATGTCCATTTTCAATAGATTTTAGGTGAAGATTCTCCATTTTTATCAATGATAGCACTAATTTTCACTAATTCCTAATTTACTATTATTATTTAATAATTAATTATTATTAATTATGAAATTCCTAATTTTATGCCTGATTTAATAATCAAGCATAAAAGTATGGGGACTTTTCACACTTAAGGTGATATTCATCCTCAGACAGAGATACTGAAATTTAAGTCTGGATGTATAAACATGTGAGCTGGAATTATCCTAAACTTTCCTAAATTATCCTAAAGTCTACTTCCAGAAAAGTAGAACTCCACTTCATATCCCAAGCTTTCCTCATGCACATTTTACAAAAGATGAGTAAAAATAACACAGGCTTATAACATCAATACAGAGATCAAACAAATGGTTGATGGTTCTAGGATGAAGTTTTTTACTGTCTGATGTCTTCACTAAGGTTGATCACACATCCGGATTAAGCAATATCTCTCCTCTGGTAGCTAAAAAGCTGCTGACTTAAAAGTGGAGGCAGAAGTGCACAGAAGGTCTTGAATCACTGATGAAGGCTGAAGATGTAAAAAATTACCTAGGAAAGGTAAGGAAGTTGGGGTAATTAGTGCTTTGAGAGCTTTTGCTCAGCTTTGCAGGGGCTCTTCTACAGGCTGCAAATTGAGGAAGGAGGAAAAACAGCAGGGCAGGGGCTCACAACTACCAACCACCACAACTTCATCTTGACAAAGGTTCTGTCAGGGATTTTTTAGCAGAATATTTCCTATAAAGTAAAGAGCCACTTCAGTGCAATTTACATGGACTGAATGACATTGCTGAAAAGGAACTCACAGAAAAATTACTTTTAACCCAGCACTCCCTTTCCCCCTTTTTTTCTGGAGTATTGTGTTTCCAAGGAGACAAGTGTGATGCTAGACATGGGTTTTATGCTGATTTTCCTTGAAACTTAATTTTTAGCTCAGATCAAAATGAAGCTGATTGAATAAGAGATTAGTCAATATGTGTAGTTTGGTGTTGAAATTTCCAGAGCATTCATTCTAAAAGCAGACCTTCAGAATTTTGTTTATTTGGATAAAGTGCTAAGGTAGACCATATCCTCACATTTTAATTCAAACACCTAAGGCTTGCTAGTTGAAAAAAAAGTTGGAAAAATAGTGTGAGATAAAAATTCTTACTTAATCAATTTTCCTTCTGTCAGGCACCCATTGCCTCCAAAATCTGAATAGTTTTCCCTGAATATTTAAAATATAACTATATTTCTGCACAGCACATGATCAGACTCAGAAGGGGAACAGTACCAGATGTACCCTGGCAGTCACTTGTGCCACCTAACACTCATTTAGCTGTTAGCACTGCTGGTACCTGAGTCTCTACTTCAGGTCGCTGAAGAGGTGTGAGAAGTTGTGAATGGTTACAAATGATGCTGCCTCACCTGACCACCAAAACACTCAAAGCATGTCTGCTTGCAAAGATAATAGCATTTCCCATTCCCATCTCACAACTTCCTCTTGTCTTACTGTCTGGAAATACAGCTGAGCTATCAGCATTTGTGATGCTGCTTCTCGATGAAAGCAAGCCAAAGATGGACCTGGCAGCCAGAAAATGTCCTACTCCAACGCACTGGAGTATTGAGTAAAACTAATTTTGCAGCCCATTTATCAGCTAGGGAAATTATGTCCATGTTCCCAGACTTGATCCAAGTGCCAACAGAGACAGCGAAAAGCAAAGCTTACTTTTCCAAAGTTGTGGCAGAGTTTCCACCTCGCCTGCCACTGAGATAGTACTGCACTGTAACTGGAGAGTGCTGCAAGATTTTCTGAGTCGTGAAAAAATTCCAAGTTTCCAAAAGGGACATGCCTTTCCTATTACTTGGGGGAACTTTTAAGCTATGCACCTTCTTTAGATTACACCATAGTTTGAAGAAGCATAAAGATTATTTTTCTCTGAGCTAAAGGGCAATACTCTTCCCACATTTCTTTTTATGAACTTTGCCACAGTCAAAGTAAGTTCCATTTTCATCAATGTTTTTTTATCTTTCAAGGCTATTTCCCCATGGAATGGAATGCTAACAAACCTCATGTCGTCCATCCCCTTCCACACCTCTGATTTCTAATGCTGTTGTGAAGATGCGCTGCTTTTGGACTTTCTGCTGCTCATTTTATTTGAACCTCTCCTCCACTTAGAAATTCTCCCTCCTTTTACGTTTCTTCTCTGCTGCTGACAACTGCACCCCTTCCTTCTTCTCAGACTCTCACATTTCCTATAATCTTTGATCCTGCCTCTTCCAGTCTCTGTGCTACATAAAAGTTCTGTGAAAAAAAAAAATCTTCAGACACTGTTAAGGTTTCAGTTTGCTGTGTTGTTTTCTTCATTGACGCCCTACGATATAAAGTGCTTACATTTAGACAATTCTGCCTCCCTATATTGTAAATTTGTCCCGCATAATATTGACTGTACTTATGCCAACACCCTCCAAACAGCTGAAGCTTTCAAACTTCAATCTCAGGCTGTCAAACAGGGCAAGTTACTCTCCCCACTGACTTTGTGCTCAATTCACTCTTTCATGATATACTCCATGCAATAAGTTTAAATTTATTAAACTTTAAGGTCAGCATATTGCAGTCCAGCTGCAGAGTTCATAACTGATTGATTCACTCCTCATGCTATCTCCAAAACTTCTCTTAGTTTCTTATACTATTTTTTACCTTGTTTTCAGGATGTGCTTAAGGCTCACAGTAAAATCATACCTTGCCATTTAGTTACAACACACAGACTTCATTCTGACCTTCAGAAGGGATCTCTCTGACAGATGCAAGCCTTCTGCTTTTGCACATCATGAGTAGTCTCAGATTACACCAGGATTTAAGACCATTGCTGGGATATAAATCCAAGTCTGCCAGCCTAGACTCCAAAACCTAAGCGAGATTTCCTAGCTGAAGTCATCAGCACTCAGACCCAGCTCCCCCACTGATCAGTCCTCAGAGAACAGATTCTTGGCCTCTGCTTGCTCACTTTCCACTCAGCACTGACTACATCATCCTTGTGGGTCTCTCAGGAAAATGAAAATAAATATAGTCCATGGCAACCCCTCCTATATCATTCCGTGTCTGCTTTCTGCATTGCAAATGTGGCCTCCTTGCCACAGCTGTTTTTTTCCAGCTCAGAATGCTTTATCACTGCACCTATTCTCTCTCATTAGACTAAAGTTTGGATCCAAATGATAGATCTCATAACATTTTTTCTGGATTTAGCCCATCTCAAGAGGCAGCTAAGGAGAAATGTACTGCTGACAGAAAGACAGAGACACTCCAATGCAACTATACAGTGACATGAGCAGAAGACCACCTGTATTCCACTCTTTCTTACTTGCCCTCCCTTTTTTTGAGCCAAACAGTTGTGCAATCATGCACATCTGTCCAAACACAGCATGCAAAGAGCCCCTGGTTGTCAGTGTCAGCTCGCTCTCTCCTCCTTGTGGTTTTGGCTGCAATGATGTTTGATGATGATGGACACAGTCAACTTTGGATAGAAGAGCTATGTCAGACAACCTTGCATGGAAAATGTATGCTGTCCGTGGGCTTTGAACCAGACAGCTGGACACAGGACTGATTTTGCTTTCAGTTCCAAATCTAAAATAATTTTAAAAGTTACACCAGTGACTACAACTAATTTTTCTCAAGTGTGAAGAAGTCACTGACATGATTAAGGAAAAAAAAAACAAACAGAGAATGACTCAATGCTAATATGAAAAAATACAGAAATATATCTAAACCTCAAGATTATTTTGTTGCTTTCTCTTCTAGGACACGTACTTGTGTATGCAGTAAGGTATGAGGGGGAGTGGTGGGCAGGGCAAGGATGTCAATTTGTGAATGAGTTTCCTGGGAGGTACCTGTGGAAAGTCAGCAATTTCCCATATGCAAGGTCTTTGAAAATTAGAGCATGGGAAGGTGACTGGTGGCATAAATTGTGCAGAAGTATATTCTTAAATATGCCTGTGCCAGTATTTGTGAGGGCAGACTGAACTCAAGATCAGTTTCTTTCCTGGGAACTGGAAGTCTTGTTTCTTTCTTTTATAGAAAAGGCTGTATTCTGTAGGTCCAGGAATATTTCTGGCATGTTTATGGAGAAAAGGATTATCCCTAGGACCCCTAGAGAGCTGTGGCAGGTGACTCATAAATCACGAGTCTCCAAGCTGCAACTGAAGGCATTTGTCTGTTAAGCTGACAAAAAGAGGGTGCCATGTGAGATAACGAGATTGACACAAGTTCATACTACCATTCCATTGAAATTATTCAAGTGACTCCTCTTCGTTCTTGAAGGTCTTTGTGGTTTCTCTCCATGTCATCCATCATATTAATTTCATCAGATGTGATATCCTTCCACTGCTGTCAGCCAGTCATAAATTTTAAAGCAAAAAATTTCAGTTTTCTCTGATCTGATCCTTATCCTTGGGAAAAGCTTCCAGTAGTCATACATAAATAAACATAATTTCCCTTTCTCTTCCTCCTAATAGCCCATTACCTCTGCTTGGCTTGCTGTGTGCTCAGGCCAGTATATATCACATTAACAAGTAAGGTCTTCTTATTTCTCTTCTACAGATCTGTTTGTATGTTTTCCTTGACTAGAAATGACTGGGTTTATTAGGGGGTTTTTTTTGGTGTATGTGATGCCTAATGTTGTGGACACCTGATCTTTCATACAACATAGAAACACAAATAATTATAAAGAAATGTGTAAGTGTGCATATGTGAGAGAAGTAGAGCACTTTCCCTCATATTTCTTGAGTGTAGAGAAGTAAAATCTAAAACCAGTGCAAAATACGGTATTCAAAATACAGTTTAGTTTTGGTTTTATCTGTCATATAAACTGTCGGGTGTCCAAACTCGTTCCATCTGCCAAGTGTCCATCAACATTTTGCCAACAGAATAGAAGATGAAAGATTTTATTTTCCTCCTGTTTAGCTTTCCAACAAGAACATAGAAGATTAATCCAGTTTCTTCCCAAGAAGGTAGCTCATTAAGCTTCCTGACAGGAAAAAGCACTCTGTTAAACGTTGC